AGCCACTCTCCCGGTGCTAGGAATAGAGTAAGCAGTTACGTGCGCACTGATGTTCAATCACGGCTGTTCGCCCTCCATTTCAGTTAATATTTCTTTCAATGAGACGGGAAATATGATCGGTGGCTATGATTATTCTTTGAATTAAAACGGTGAAGCCCATTCTCCCGACCTTGTACTTCTGGCTTTGCACCGAATGTTTCGAGAGTTTTAAGCCTAGAGGTAGGGCGAAGGGACTTTTCCTCGTGTTTTCGCACCCGCAGTCAGAATACATCAGTTCTGGGCACTGTGTGGCGTAGGATGTTCCTCTACTGGATTTGGCTGCATTGTTGCTGCCATCCCTGTTTGGCACAAGAGATCGAGGACTATTTTGCGAAATGCGAACACAAATACCCGGCAGTGAAAAGCAGGAAAAAGGTCCCCAGAGCCGAGCAGCGAGTGTGCACATTGTTTTTTCTTACAAAGATGGTTTGCCGTCTGTCAATGGAAGATCTGACCCTAACCGTGGTGCGTGTAATTAGCTTCGAGGTATTTATATACGATGAGAGGCATGCCACAAAATTATTGACTTTTTTGGAAAAATCAAGTTCGGAAATTTCTTGCTTTTTTTTGGTGACAAGAATTTATATATTTTTCCTATCTGTTTTTTTTTCTTTAGGCGCTTCTTTGTGGGACTTGTACCGGCAGAATAATAAGCTGCGCAAGGCTCATCTATATTAGGAGGCGGCTCATGTAAATTTGATCGCTTGTGCCCGTTTTTGATCATGGCAACGACAATAGCGCGTACTCGTCTGAGGCTAGCGCAGTATAAACCTCTTGTCGTTTGTAGGTCTATCTTCAGCTATTTTCAATATATGGCTGCATTTGGAAAACTGCTTGGACATGAATTTTTCATTTACGTGGAATAGACCTCTGTAAATACCGCTTCGTGCTTTGGAAAGTTCTCAGAATCGATTTCGCTACACGAACTCGGGGAATTTATCGAACAATTCCAAAGCCACTTTGTTGGGTTGTTACAATTCTAAAGTTGTTTTTTTTTTTTTAATATGTGTGCGTTCTAACATTAGAACTCAGGACACAAAATCGTGCATATTTTCTACACCCCAAGCCTCCCTTGGGGGGGGGGGGACGTTTTGACGCGTGTGTGTCTTTTTTTGCCGTTAGCGCCATTGTTTTTATATCCCTTAATTTTTTTTTTCCTCTTTTTTCTCTTTTTGTGTTTTGTGGTTGTGTGGTGAAGCCCATTCCCGACCTGTACTCTGGCTTTGCACAATGTTCGAGAGTTTTAAGCCTGTGCGTAGGTCGAAGGGAAGTTTCTTCGTTTCCGCACCCGCAGTCGAGAATACATCAGTTCTGGGCACTGGTAGGATGTCTCTACAGATATGGCTGCATTGTGCTGCCATCTGTTTGCCGATTCGACACTATTTTGCGAAATGCGAGCCGGTAATGTCACTTGCTTTTTACAATAGTTCGCTGCAGTAGGCGAAGGTGGCGCTTGTGTTGTTTTGAGTTTAGAACGACGGACATGACACAAATTGGACTTTTGACTTTTGGGAAAATTGTTCGGAAACTTATCGCTTTTTGGTATGCTTTATATCTTTTTCTATCCAATTTTTCCAACCTCCCCTCCCCACTGGCCAATAAGCTGCGGTCTTAGGAGGCGGTATGTATCAATTGCTGTGTTGATGTGCAATAAACTGCATATGTATTAGTGCTAAAACCTATTTGGAACTCTGTTGGGCATAATTTCATTCTTGGAATAATCGTATTAAATATCATTCTGGAAGTTCTCAGATAAATCCCCTCGCTTCAAGAGTCGGAGGTTTATCGACAATTTTCAAAGCACTCGTGGTGTTACATCTAAAGTTTTTTTTATGTGTTGCGTCTACATAGACGCAACGCGTCTGTAAGCTCCTTGGGGGGGGGGCGTTGAGTGCTTTGAGCTTATAATAATTCTCCATTAATATCGTCACGTCTCGTCGTAGTCAGTTATCAGGAGGACCACCAGGTAGCATCTCCGCGTACGCGCCTCCTGCCACGCGCTCTGCGTCACTACCCAGCAGCCAAAATTAGCAAGAAATTAGAATTGGGATAGGGTTTAGAACACTTCAAAAAGGTTGGACCAGCCCTTGCGAAGCAGCCAAACTGATTTAGTTGGAACAAAATTTCATTTAATATTATTCAAGACACTCTGATACGCCAAAACACTTGACTATCGAATTCATTTTCTTGTGTTCTCTCTTTTAGATTGCAAGTGTCCACCCCAAAGAGGAGGGGAAGGAGGAGATTCTACGTGTTTTCGGCCTTCGCATGGGGGTCACCCGCTGTGCTGACAGTGGCTTGTCTCTTCCTGTTTACTCCTCCGAACCGCCCTTACACGCAAGGGGAGCGACGTTGGTACGCCCCATCGCTCATGGAAACTCGAGTGTGCTACAAGGAACCTATCGTGTATTCCGAATCAGGTAAATTTGAAATTGCCTGTCGCAAACGAGAAGTATCATTAGTAAAAAAAATACATTTTGTTTTCAAAGAGCATAAAATAAACGGGTCAAGTACTTAAAGTAAAGTCGTCTTTGAAAGTACTATACAGTACTATATATACAGTATATCAGCCATACTGTACTATATATACTTTGTATGTACTATATATACTGTACTGTATATACTTTGAAAGTGATATACAGTACAGTATATCAGCCATTTAGGTATCAAAATATTACCTATTATTTATGGTAAATACTCTGAACCAAACACACTAATCTTCGAACTCCTCTACTCTTTCTTCTATATAAATAAAATTAGAGTTACTGTGATTTCAAACTCTCTTTTTATAATCTCATCTGTGGTGGGATCGGCGATGCCAAGGCAGTATAGGGAAATGCATTGCAGAGATCTATACATTAATACGTGAGGAAGAAAAAAAACGTTGTACCCATTTTTAAGCATATTGCGCCCATGGAGAAGTGCGAGATTTGCCTTTTCTATGGAGAAGAAATGTAGTAAGATATAATTGCTGTTATATTGAATATCAGGCGCAGTTTGGAACACAAATATATTATATTAAATATATAGCGAGCAGAAGTAACCCGGAACATGTAGCAGCACACTACTGTTGTGCGTAACTCTAATCCGATGCATTTTAGAACATTGAAACTAGATTTTCGTCACATAGTGATACAGGTTGTGTGTTTCTATCCTCTAAGCAACGAAATGATATTTTTTCATCGTTTTATTCCAACTTAGCATTTACGAAAAATATGCTCTACTCTAAATTTGCATTTATGTTCGTGAAAAGCAAGCTGTTTACAGTACATCGACTTTTGGTGGACTGTGTTGGTGGTGGTTGAGGCCACAAGACCACTTTCTGTTGCGTTCCCCATCAATGCCGGATAGAGAGAATCCAAATGATGGTCCTGTTGGTGCGTCACTAATGTTAATTCAAAATAATATAATATCAGTGATTCTATTACACCTGATTATGATAAAAATACTCCTTTTAAAACTTTAAAATTTAATGCAGGATACCCATTTGAGAAATGAATACAGGATTAAAAATTATGGGTTTTCAGTATTCTCTGCGTGCACGAACCAGTACATTTTCGCACTGGTTCAGATAGTTCCGATCTATTAGGCGACTGCCCTCGATAAATATGGACTGACCTAAATAATAAATCAGCAGTAAGATGGCACCAACTCGATCAGGGTTTTCGTCCAGTGTTCCTTGATCCTTTGAGCAATTGCTAAGATGGCTCCCTTGCTTTGATTTCTGGACAGAAAATGAAACTTCACTTCGAACAAATTTTCTTGAGCTCCCTTTTACTAGACATGAGAGGAGTAGGTGGTTAATTATTTGTTAGCAGTGTATTCATAATCGAATTTGAATGTCGCTTGCTGTTCTTTCACATAGAGGTAAGCATTTCTTACTTTAAAATGCTGCTTTCTACCTTTACTTATAATAGTGTGTTGTAAGAGTGAGAAATCTGGAGTTTAGGAAGATTAAGTGTACCTGCATATATCATGTGACTTGTCATACATGATTATAATTGTATAAGTGTCTCAATTATTATTATTATTATTATTATTATTATTATTATTATTATACAGTGTGTGTCACGTAACTTTAGCACATCCTATAACTCAACAGTTAAAATTAATGCAATGCAGTTTTCACGGAAGTTCATGAAGGAATGGGCTAGTTGATACGTGTATTCATTTCTATTTTACCACTTGCATTTTACAAGATATTTGAGCAAACGTTGTTTGTTTTCAAATGGAATCATACATATTTTAGGCTATCATGACGAGCGTAAAAAGACGAATCCAATGATATACATAATGACATATGCTAGATTACCATATTTTTTGAGAAATTTTGATTTTTTGCGACTAGTGTTTAACGGATATTTTGAATATAATAGTCAACAAAATAATAAAAAATCAAAATTTCGCAACAAAAAAAATGCTCATCTAACATACGACAAATTTCTCTTTTTACGCCCTTCATACTAGACCGAAAAAATATGTAAAGTTTAATTTAAAGAAACAAAGTTGCCTCAAATATCTCGTAAAATACAATTGATGAAATAGAAATAAATGCACGTATCAATTAGCCCCGTTCCCTCATACACTGCAGTGAAAACTGCATTGCGATAACGTCAACCTTTAAAAAATTATAGGAGGTGCTAAAGTTAGGTGACTCACCTGCATAATAAATAATAATAGTAATAATAATAATAATAATAACAATAATAATAATAACAATAATAACAATAATAATAATAATAAATGCAAGGTACTTCAACTACTTAAACTAATAATAGTAGTTTATGCAATGGGTTTATAATGTTAAGCATTATTGCATGAATACACGTTTGGAAAACTAGCGACGTTTTTTTAAATTTGTACGAATGAAATAAAGCAACATTATAAACGAGTTGCAAAAGATATTCTTTTGTATAACAGCATTATAAATTTATTAGAGAATTACTTAATTTTGCAAAACAATTTTGTGGTGACGTTTTGGGCCATTTGACACCTGTGCGAGATAATAGTGGTCGGCTCGGTTCCGTTCACTGGCAGCACCTCACGATTTTTTCGCTGCGATTGAATGTGTGATGAGGCAATCATTCGTGCCGTAAAATCTAATACGTCATCTTGTGCGATTAATGACCTTTTATGAACGATTTATTGCAACAGAAAATGCCATTTATAATGCTGGTATGCCCCCAAAAATAATTAAATAACCAATTACTCAAATCCCCTCACAGATAACCTCAACCGTTATTCTTCTTTAAAATCCGGCACCGCTCTCTTCTATTACGGCCCAGTAGGATGTCTCGTGTTGATAAACCTCATCTGCCTGGTTCACATCTTGAGGAAAGTGCGGTACCTACGACGAGGGAACGCCATTTTGCGAACGGAAGAACAAAACGGCGACTTGGGCCACTCGCACGAGAATGGAATTGACTCTCACGCTGCGCACTCTGACAGCGGCGATAGCCGGACACGCCAAAAGCAAAATGGACGACAGGCAGTTGATGCAAAAACGTAAGTCTTGAGTGAAATGTATGAAAAAAGGTGGAGGCTGAGATTTTTAAATAAAACAGTTTATTCAGTTGTACAATTTACAAAGCAATCTCTTCACAAGAATATATAAAGAAATGACAAAGTTCCAATTGCCAAAAGAAAGTACCTGATTTGTTGACGAGTTTGGTAACGCCAGAAAATGTATCCATCGAAGTCGATTCACAGTATACGTAGAAATAACCACAGTACTCATGCGCGGTCAACGTAACTGTCACCCCCCCCCACTAACACACACACACACACACACACACAACCATTTTGATAAACTAAAACTAAATTGCTCTGAAAATAGTGGGGCAATGTTAATGATTGTTGACATTATTTCATTCTTCCTAAAAAATAATAAAATTAGGATAAAGTTAATAAAATATAATTCAGTTGTAACACGTTTAGTGATAGCTTTAGATAAAATGGAAATCAGTTTAATGCTGTCAATGAAACTGAGCGATTACTTCATTTCATACATAAATACCGAGATTTCTTTCTTAAGTACGATGACGGCCACCTTATATGTGCAAATAAAAACATAATATATTTATAAGAAACTGACCAAATTGAGCAGACAATTATTTAGCTTTAATTGTTAATGACATTTGCTAATAACTATTCTTATTAAATGAAGGGGTTGTCGCCGTTTGGATCAATATTTGCGACCTTCGTCAAAACAGACACTAAAAATTCAAAGTTTCAAAGAGTTCAAAAAACTACTACACTCGCATCTTTACGCCTGAAACTAATTAGTAGGATTTATTTTCACTTCGTAAGAACGTAGAGTGGTTATCAAAACAATTGCGTGCTCTAGAGAAAAATAACACAAGTCATTGTGAATAAAAAATAATTAATTTTAATGTTTCTATAAGTTATGGAAAGAATTAAACATTCCAATTTAGTATTAAACAAGACCTAGATTTCAGTATTCAAACCTGGAAAAGAAAGAGGGTTCTCAGTTTTACTTATTACTAGTGAGTTTGTGGAAAAGAGAAACTGAGTACAATATTTTCTTACTGGCCTTTTTAATCGAAAGTTTCGAACTGTTTAATGCTATATTTTATGATAAATATTTTTCACAAACTGCTTACCCATATTTCTTAACTAACTGCTTTATCGGAGAAATTCATTTTCCCCTGTAGGAAATCTCCACCTCGCTCCACCTCGCTCCACCTCGCTCCACCTCGCTCCACCTCGCTCCACCTCGCTCCACCTCGCTCCACCACGCCACGTTTGTTTGATAGTAAATGCTTTTACTACTTTTATCAGACTTGAAATATTAAATTATTATTCATACCGCCCATTGCACCAATCTGATCAGTTAAAAAGATGATGACACAATGCATTTGGGAGAAATCACAAATAAAAATATCTATTGATATGAGAGTAAATAAAAAACAGGTGTTTAAAAAAATAATTACAATCATCAAAAACCCTTATTTACGATTTAAATCAACCATCACTAATTTGTTTTCAATTTATTTTTCAGAATCAAAATGAACATCAAAATGTTGCTCATGACCGGAGTAACAGAGCTCATCTCCGAGGTGATCATGTGGATTATCACGTCCTACCCTGACGAATTTGCTTGGGCTGAAAGTGATTATCACTTCCCCTACAGGGCCTCAGGTTACATCACCGACTTCTTCAGAGCTGCCTGCGTCGCGTGGTTGGCAGCACCGGAGGGGGGTTACTTGGGACCCCTTCTAAAAACATTGCGCGGAGACAAGAGAAATAATCGCTGGAACTCTTGAAAAAATGTTCACTTTTTCGCACGAAAATATAATGGTCTTTGTTTCAATAAAGAGCTTCGTAGTGCAATGGTTAGCTAAGTAACGAGCTATTAAACCCAAATAACGGGTTCAAATCTAATCGAAGCCTTGGATTTTTAAAGGCGAAAAATATCCTTCAAACGTCTTCCTTCGGAAGGGAAATAAAGCCGGCTGTCTCCTGTTGTAGATTTACTGCACGTAAAAGATCAAGCCTAAAGGATGTTCCTTACGTAAATTCTAATCACCAATTTCGTCGCCCAATTGATACTTCCTTTCTGTATTATCTTACGTCTTACCCTAACCGAATTTGATTGGGCGAAGAGTGATTACCACTTCCATTACCGGGCATGAGGTTACATTACGACTTCAGAGCGGCCTGGGTTGCACCCCCATCTGAACAGGTTGCACGGAGAGAAATGATCGCTGGGACTAATGAAAAAGTGTTTCCCTTTTTGCCAGAAGTAACAATTTATAAATTTAAAATGATACAGCTGTATTCACTTCTGACAATGATTCTCGAGAAGCATCACAAAAACTTCAAGATCACCTTACTACACTTGATGGTACAACAAGTGGAGAATCAAGATCAATGAAAGTAAATTCGCACAGGAAAGAAACTCGCATTAGACACTTATAAACACGTTTTTGCCAATATTCCACCATCGCTTACATACAGAACCTATTAATATGAATACTCAAAACAAAAAAATGGAGCCGTTTTAGAGAAAATGGTGTTTGAGTGTTTCGGAAAATGCGGAATTTTGAACTCATTTTCATGGAAAACTGTTGAGTGTTCGGGAAAGTTTATCTCCCATTATTTAAAGCACATGTACCCATAAATACATTGAAGTAAAGAAATAGCCGCTAATGTAAATATTAATCATAAGTCGACATAAACGCCATATTGCTGTAGCCTTTTTTTTGTACTTCTATGTAATTTGTTTGATTTCTCTCTCACATCGTTAATATTTACATTAGGAGCAATTTCTTTACATTAAAGTATTATTAGTTTTCTATTGGCTCTGTAAATTGAATAATTTGGGATATAATTTTTTCCCCTTAAGTTGGTTTCTGTGATGCAAATTAAATCTACACGATGTGAATTTATTAAGTGTATTAGTTCTGTTTTTTTTATTTCTTAGGCAGTTAGCGTTCCAATTGGCGAGAGTGAAAACTTTAAGGTATTTTTTTTTTGCCATTAGTACCATTAATGTAGGCGGGGAATTCAATTTAAATCGAGTTGATTGTGTCGGGTATAAGAGTGTTAATGGTTTTGATTATACAAGTAGTAATTGCATTAATTATTGTGTTTATAATGGGATAGTTTTGATGTAATTCTTGGGGAAGGTTGGTTGGATTTGAATAATTGATAGGATTTGGGCGGGCCTGGGATGTGGTGCTACAAATATGAGTGAAGTTGCTGAGTGTTTAGGGAAAGAGAGAGAATCGGGAATTTGTTTGTGGCAGAGTGGGTGGGCTGGAAAAGCATTGGTTTTGGGTTTGGGGATTGTTTTTGTTGACAGTTTTTCTTTTTTCAAGGTATTTTTTGGTAAGGGCAAGTGGAGTCTGTATTGTCGGCCTCGTGGCTGCCCTGGCAGTTACATTTTGGTATTTGGATCACGCTTAGGGCAAGTTACCGAGTAGTGATTACCCAAGCAAAACTCGCAGCTAATTGAATGGTTGCAATTATTCTTCCTATGGCCATAATCCAGACACCGCTGGCATTGTAACGGACCTTGAGGATTTTCCTTGTTTCTGCTTTCAACTCTGTGGTTAGAAATTTGCATAATAGCTAAAATACTGTCGTTTGGGACTTATCTTCTAAAAGCAGCTGCAACTACTGAAATAGGTTTGTTTTCTTTGTGAAGTCTGGTGATTTTTATCAGTGATGAAATGGTTTGTTTTAAGTGTTGATATATTCCTTAATCAGTAGTGGATTGGTCAACATTCTTGAACACTACAGAGAAATGTTTATTCAACGGGTCTTTGAAGGAATGAAAACTTCGATGAGTGTGAATTAGGTACCTGATTACGATTCGGAAATCCGTGAGTTTGCACTTAATTTTTTTTTTTGATCTGCAATGAAATTTGTGACGATCTTATATTTAAGTTCTTTGATGAATGCCTCATAATTGATAATGTCTGCTAGCATGATTGGTAGTATTTTACTGGAGGTTTCACTGTATTAACTAGGGAGTTCGTTAATATGAGTGAATCTATTTTCAGTTGTTTGCTTATCAAGTTTACTTAGAGGTTCGAACCTTTTTCTGACCGAAACATTAATTTGTAGAGAGTCAGATTTTGTATTTGTATCACTGCAACTATCGTGATTGCAAAGAAAATTTGGGGTTCTTGTTTTATATCATTGTTTGCCAATGACCTGTTTCTAGAACCTGTGGAGTCTTTTTCTGGTAGCTGAGCGGTTGCAGGTTGGCAGAGTTGAATCTGTTCGTGGTCATCAGTGGCGAGTGTGTTAATTTGGTTGGTGATTTTCTCCATCGTCACCTCCATTTCGGGTTCGGTGAATTGATTTGGATTACCTGGGAATAAATTTTCCATTGTTGATGGCTGGTTCTCACTGGTGTTACGAACAAGCAATGCAGCAATTAAGACATCGCTTGTTGGAGGGTCGTAGCTGCATGTCATTCACTACACTGATTAGCACTGTGTCGCACTTCACCGGAATGGTTTCGATTAACTGTTTATCAGAAGCACTGGCATGGTTCACTTCACAAGTTTATAAGTTAATATTGTCGAGATGCGAAGCGTGACTCCACGCCACTTCGTTTGTTGGAGGAGAAAAACGCCTCGCACCGTTTGTAAGCTGCCTGAGACACACCCCTCCCCCCGAGTTGTCTGTACAGGGCACGTTGACTGACACTGGCGGGTCATAGACCTATCGGAGACGCCCCAACGTGAAAATCTGAGCACGATTAAGGTGACGAATTTTCAACACAGCAAAGGTTTGACAGTTTAGCTCTTCAAGCGATTGGTAAATAACAAAAGACTCTTGTTTACTCCTGAATTACCCCAAAATTTAAGATTTTTGTGCATAAATTTGCGTGGCCACGCTCAAGCTTATTTTTTTAATTTAATTCAGAACTTTAATTCTAATTATAAATTGAAATAGTGAGCTCATCAAAATTTATAATTTTGTAAAATTTCAATTATAGCATTAAATTTTGTTCAATAATTCAACATGAATGTTTTCTATTCTCGCAACGCTAACCCTTCCTTCTCACAGAAACGAGGTAACCCAAACGAATCTGATCTAGCCGACGTGACGTACCCGTTATAACTTATAGGTAGGTAAAAGGGCACTTAACAATCCTGCAAAAAAGAAAGAAAGAGAAAGAAAGAAAGAGAAAAGAAAGAGAAAAGAAAGAAAGAGAAAAGAAAGAGAAAAGAAAGAAAGAGAGAAAGAAAAAGAAAAAAGAAAGAAAAAAAGAAAGAAAAAAGTAAGAAAAAAAGAAGAGAAAGATTGAGAAATAAAAAAGAAAGGAAGACCGAAATATTCTTTATTGGTGGCAACGCTCAACTATTTATTCGCATCTCACCAGTCTGTATCTTTCGTTACGATAGTAAATAAGAATGAACAAATCTCAGAAAGCAACTTTATTGCAACATACACACAAAAGCCAAACACAAAAAACCAAACACAAAAACAAAAAAAAAATCAAGTAGGTGCGGGGAGGCGCGAGCCGTCACCACTCGCGCCACTTCTTGGCCGGGGGCTCGTCCGTCCTGGCGGGGGTGGCGGGGACGGCAACGGGGACGACGAGCGCGCCGGCACCCCTGCCGCTGCGCCTAGCCTCCGGGGGCGGCGCTGTTGGCGCGTTCTGCGTTGGTGAAGGTCGGCTGACGGCCTCGCGCGCGCGGCCTCGCCGCACGGCCGGGCGCCGAGGACGCAATTCAACTCAAGTCAATCCAAGGGAATGGAAGGGGATGGGATGGAGTGGAGTGGAGGGGAATGGAATGGAATGGAATGGAGTGAGGTGGAGTAGGGTGGAGTGGAATGGAATGAGGTGGAGTGGAGTGGAATGCAGTGAGGTGGAGTGGAGTGGAGTGGAATGCAGTGAGGTGGAGTGGAGTGGAATGCAGTGAGGTGGAGTGGAGTGGAATTGAATTGATGCCTTATTGTGCGTGGCGAGACTCAGGTCATGAGGTCCCCCCTTCAGTCTGACCACGAAAACTTCGCTCCGCTCCGTTTTCAAACTGGTGGAGAAAGGAGGTATTTCTAGGGCGGCGAAACAAACGATTTGAATCTAGTTCAAAAGCTTCATTTAGGCTTTTGAGAATCTGTTACGTGCAGTAAATCTACTAACATGGGTAAGGACGACTTTACTTTTCCCTCTGAATGAAGGCGTACGAAGGATTTTTACGGATGGATTAATTGATCGATTACACTTCGATTTATTACCGAGTCCGTTGACGTTTGCTTCATCAGCTGATACGGTGTCATTCAATCGGGAGGTTAAACGTCACTACTGTAGGTATCATCCAAGCTCCCGATTGAATGACATCGTTACAGCTGATTTACGTCAACGTATTCTAAACTCTACATTTTTGAATCGAAGTATAGTGATTCTCGTGATAAAAAATCCAATATATTAGCGGAATGATTAATTAGGGATTTCGTGCGCATCTACTTCAAGTCATTTTTTCCGTAAGTGTAAATGATTGTTTTTTATCGCGGTAGGTGGTGGTGATGTTCCCCTCCCCCGCTGGCTATCGACCTACCAGAGGTTACGGGGATTTTCCCCAACTAGGTATCTCCCACCTGCAAAGCACCGCCCCTGGCAGGTGGCCGTGTTTCTAATCTCCCGACAGGTGTGATAGTGTAGTGAGTGTGAGTGTGTTTAAGGAAGTAGCGAGGACGGGAGAAGGAAGGGAAAGAAAGATCGCGCGCTCCGTGGCCCGTTTGTTAGGTTCTTCTCCTGGTGTTGATCGGAGGAACCACGGAAAACTAATGATCAGAGCAGCCGGCCGCTAGAATTCTCCTCCAGACTACCGGTGAATTCGACCTAGATATCTAGTGTCAGGCGCAAGTAGCCAATCAGGCGCATCTTAGTGTCGAAAATCCTGCTACCGTAGGGTTCTAACCCTAGGACCACTCGGGCTAAGGCACTGCAGTGCAATCAGTCGATGCCCTGAGCGGCGAGGAGTGTGGTGGCGAGGAGGGGAATTTAAATTGTTTCCGTGCAAGTCAATTACTGAGGTTATTTGCTAAATTGTAGTGCAA